ATTTTTTTTTTTTGTAGATGTCTGTCTTTTAGCAGCAGATCATATAACTTTCCTCCTGAAAAACCTTCAACGGCTCCCCCTTGCCTATTAACTAGTCCATACATCTCAGCTTGGCATCCAAAGCTCTCACTGCCTGGCCACATGCTCAATGCCTGTTTCCTTCCCACAAAATCCCTCTCCACCTTCTGGTCGAGCCACACCTAACCACACAGTGTCTCCTATAAAGACGCCATGCACTTGCATGCCAGTATTTACCAAACTGCCTTTGAAGGGTTAAGAAACAGCAAACAGACTTTCTCTGCAGGACGCTGTCAATCTCCCAAGACAGGAGTTAGAATCCTGGATAAGAAATCAAACCATTCAGGCTCCATGAAGTTCTATAACTCGCCCAAGGTCACACTGCTAGTAATGATGACACCAATATTCAAATCCAAATCTGACCAACTTTAAGGCTAATGCCCTTCCCCTTAACTGCATTATTCCCGTAAAGTTCAACACGTAAATGCTAGTGTGAGAACGCAGGACTTACCTCCTTGGTAACTGCTGTTCTCCTAAAAATATAACCTCAGCTGGCCTTGTCTCCAAAGATGTACCTCTAAGCTACCATCGGGATAGCTGGACTGTATTAGTCCACTTTCGTGTTGCTATAACAGAATATCCGAGGCTGGGTAATTTATAAAGAACAGAGATTTATTTGGCTGACGATTCTGGGACAGTTGCATTTGGTGCAGGCCACAGGCTGCTTCTACTCATGGCAGAAAGTGGCAGGCAGCCGGCACGTGCAAGGAAATCACAAGAGAGGGAGAGGGGAAAGGCGACATGGTCTTTTAAACACCCAGCTCTGGTGAGAACTAACAAAGCAAGAGCTCAGTCACTACCACCTGTCCCCTCCCAGCAGGGACAGCATTAATCCATTCACGAAGGATCCACTCCCATGACCCAAGCTGCTCCCAACACTACCAAGTTTGGGATCAGATTTTGACATGAGCTTTGGGGGGACAACACATCCAAACTCTATCATGGATGGATGTCTGTGCCTCCTGGAACAGGCAGCAACTGGAGCATGAAGCCACAAGTCTTGAGTAAAAGGACAGGAGAAGGGACATACGTGTTTTAACTGATCATAGCATAACTAACTGCTCCCCTAATCACTCTGATGAGTGATTTAAACTCCTTATTTGGAGCTTACATTTGCTATAATTTTCTCAAATAGTCCCTTATTTACATGGTACTAATGGAAAAGCTGGGGAAAAAATTAGATTCTTTCTGCAGTTTGTATTAGTAAGAGCTCTGAGTTGTGTTCCATAATAAACATAACCAGGTCTATTCATGGACTGTAGATGTAGTCGTAAATAATGACATACATAGATAATCATTATTCCCAAAAGGTTGAAAAATCGGGATAAAGATGTGTAATCACTGACATAAAAAGTATAAAAGTAAGCAGCTACCGTAATTTGTGGCTCAGTTTCCCGTGGAATGTTTATTTCTTCTCAAGGAAAAAAAAGATTGAAGATAGTTAATATTACAAAAAGAAAAAAGGTCCTATAAATGATGCCACACAATCTCCTTTCAGTCCTGAACTATGCCACAGCTAATGAAACACATTAACTTCTAATACTCCAGACCATCTTCGGCAATTCCTATAAGGCACTATCTTCTCTCCCCCTGGAAACCTCTCTGGAACCATTTCTGCGGCTACCACCCTGGGCCGAGCTAGTACCTCCTCTCGCAGGACCCCGCGACAGGCGTCCTGCATGTCCTCTGGTCCCTCCTCCACAGCAGCCAGGTGGTCTTGTGATAACAGAAATCGCATCATGCCACCCCCCTGCACAAAATGCTCCAAGGCTCCCCTAGAGACAAGACTGAGAGAGGGACCCCCACGTGCACTGAGGGGCCAGACCTACACCTGCCTCTCCCTCCATCCTCCACCACTATTTTGCCTTATTACCTACTAATACCTGTATTGATTGCATAAACGCCATCTAGCTTTCCATTAGACTGTGCTCTCTGATGGCAGGGATACCGTCACTGTCCTCTGGGGTGCACTATGTCCCTGGGGCTCAGAAGTGACTGTCACTGGGGAACAAGGCACTCAAAAAGTGTTAAATAAATAAGTTCCAACGATTTCTTTCTCTTCTATGAAATTGGCAATTTTCACAGTAGCCCAAAGTCACCTTGCATGGTTTTCTAGTTGTTGCACACAGATTGACTTAAGCAAAGTGTTTCCTATGGATTTTGCTTCCCCAGAGTTACAGAGCCTAGCAATGTTTTTTTTTTTTTTTTACTACATAATTGATGCTTAAAACTTGCTAATTCAGCTCACCTTTCAATCTGCTGCTGCCTGTTAGAAAAGGGACAGAAATGTTTATATCATCACAACATATCAGCTATTATTTCAACACAGACATTCTTTCATGAAATATGATAAGACCCTTTAGAACAGATGAAAGAAAATCTGTCAAGAGTAATACATTCATTTAACAAATTTAAACATTTGTTTTAAACAATCATTTCCACTGACTTTGTTCCAGGTAGTCTTCTACTGGCTCTTTGTGACTTGCGTAAGTACACAGTGAAAATAAAATTCAATATTGATTTTTAAAACCTTGTTTCCATTATTATTAACTCACTACCACCATTAGCAAATAACCAATATACTGTAACAGAGTATCTGCTACACTCAGAAGTCTGAACAAGAAATTACAGCTGCACATATCATAAGAGAATTCCAAAGTACCTGCATTTATTTACTGAACAAATAAAACCACGCAGCCAGGATAAGGCCATGTGCTAGGGACTGTGATTTGCACATTTTAGGCTCTGTTCACAATTTCCATTTTATAGGGATTAAATAACTATAATAATTGTCATACTGTAATATATTTGACTAGACTAGTGACTAGCCAATTAAAACTTTTTAAGAGTGCAAAAACTTAAAGCAAAAACCTTGCCTGACAATTATAGAAATTAAAATGCTCCAGGGAATTTGGCAATTTATTCTGAAGGTGAAAAGTCTTTCAGAAACTAAGTAATCACCTTCAAATTACACCATATCTACTGTATACACAGCAGTCTACACTCCACTGTACAAGTTTTTCTGGTGTCCATAAAAACTATCCTATATAACCAGTTATTATTCCACAGTTGTGTTATTTCTTTTTACTACTTAGTAGTATTAGGAGGCCTTAAAAACAGTTTACCACTTGCAACAACTGGAATAGGGCTTAACATCCCTTCCAAACAGTAACAAACATGCTCTACCTTGCTTGGGAACACTTTGTTTGCCTCTTGAGAACTACTGCAACCAAACAAATCTGGATAAATACAGTGTAAAAGTAAAAGCCACAGGCCCTTCAATTTTTTCATCTAAGGACCAAGACAGGCCAAGTTGTGTGTTGGGGATTTGATGTTCTGCAACACCATGTTTGTAGAAGGCCGGGTTCTACGTTACCACAGCCCTGCTGCAACTGCCAAGAGGCAGGCAGGAGAGGGGACCGTGCTGACACTGTCCTGAAAACACCTGGTCTGCAGAAAACTGGCAGACACAGGCTTGTAGGATGTCACTGGGAAGAGGGTCTTACAGGACACATGGACAAGTCACTTGTTCTATGGCAGCAGGTTAAACATTTCTTTCAACGAAAGTATATTTCAGGAAACAGGCACAAATTGGTATTGAGGACTGTTACCAGGCTTGAAGCATTTACAAAAATGAGTACACAGAAAATTGTGCTATCTACGTTTTTACTGTAACACAGCGAAAAGTAAGTAGTTCTAGAGTCCTTCATGTGGCCGGTCAGGGCACTAAGTATCCGCCACTACCACTTCCATTTTTCCTATCATATTTTGTTAGACTCTGCTCTGTTGCTTAAGCAGCTGCTATCTAAATTATGAGATTGGGGGAAGGGTCATAAAACAAAACCTAAAAGTATTCGATGCTTACACATAGCTACAACAGTCAGATTATCTATAATTCCCATAATAAAGATGCTACATTAGCACTTTTCAAGTAAATGTCAGTACTGAAGGATTTTGAATAGGTAAAGAAATCCACACGAACCTGCAACGAAGATATTATTTCTTCCTGTCAGTCTTCTCTGCTCTCAGAGAAGGACAGTGTTGCAGTTTGAGTTAGCTCCTGTCCTAGCAGGTTTGACAAGGTTGAACGACATGCAGCCAGGGCCAGTTCCGGCTGCATCCTTTAATCTTTCATGAGATTTCATCCCATTCTAAGAATACGAAGCGAACTTCAATATTAAAGAGCCAACTTCAAACGGCAATTCTATTAGCTCTTTTATAGAGCGAACTATAATAGGATTTGTATATAGGTCATTTGTCAGTTCTTTATGACATCTGGAAAACCCTCCCTGATTTGCAAAAAAAGTAAATGACACAGGCCAGGTCTTCAGGATTCCAAGTATCTGTTCAAGGACAACGCACTTGTTCATAACCCAAAAGTGCGTAAGGGCGACCTGGTGCTTGGACCAATAATAAAATCATATTTAATGTGCAGAGACATGTGACTGAAAGAGGTCTTTGGAAAAGTCAAAGGACATGAACCTATATTTAAAGCGGGAGAATGGGAACCCCAATACAGCACCCGCAAAGGCACAGGACAGGGGGAGTTTGAGAAGGCCACTAGGCCAGGAGGGCCACGGGTCACTAATTCATAGTCCTCATCATCCCAGGTTTGCAAAGTCCCACCCAAACGAACCACCTAAGGCACCTAAAGGCCAAACTGCCCCCGAGGTTTCCAGCAGATGCAGGTACCCCACAAATGTTTCATCTTCAAGCAAGCCCGGCGTGCACTGTTAGAAAAGGCACCCCAAGGCAACAAGTCCAGGTGACAGTGTCCCCTGCCCCGAAGCACGTAGGCAAGGACTCTCTGCACCTCTGAGTCCCGGGAGGCCGGAGCGGGCGGTGCCGCAGGCGCGGACCCCCGGCCCCTTTGCAGCTGGCACCGTGCCCCCCACTCCCCCCCGGCTACCCGTGCCACTTACTGTTGCTGGACTTGAGGTCCCGGTGCAGGATGGGCACTACGGCCTCCTGGTGCAGGTAGAGCATGCCGCGCGCGATCTGCACGGCCCAGTCCACCAGCACGTGCGGGGGGATGCGGCGCGC